TGTGCCTTGAGGGTGAGTATCAAATCTGCTTCGAGGAAAAAATGGCGCTGAGTTTGGGCGACCTATTCAACTTGAGGGCAAAACTGCACAAGCACGTGTACCAGCACCGCATCGTGAAGGTCATTGACCACATGGTGGCGGATGCTCTCTATGAAGCCAATCCATACTTCACAGTGAAGACCAGCGGCGGCAAGCTCATCCGGATGTCTGAGTGCGTTGACGACGATGATGGCTTCTGCCAGCTTGGGGACTGGTTGTTGAACGCTATTGCAGCCTCTGGCGATCCGCAGCTGGAGAAGGCGCAATCCATCATTCGCCGTATCAACGAGCGCGACTTGTACCCGGTCATTGGCATGGCGATGTACGCTGAGTACCAGAAAGGGCTGAATGAACAGAATATTAAGGACGGCATCCTGAACCACTGTACGGCCGGGGAAGACAACGGGAAGCTGCGGTGCGCCGTTGAGGCGACGCTGATCGTGTCCATTATTGATATTACGTTCGGCAGCAAGGACGAAAACGGGTTACCGGACGACCCTATCAATCACATGGCATTCTACAACCCAAAGAATACGGAGGTAGGTGCCTTTAAGCTCCCAAAGATACGGATGAGCCCTCTGTTCTCACCCAGCAAGTACAGTGAACAGATGGTACTCGTCATGGTGCGTGACAGGTTGCTTTTCGGTATAGTCAAAGCTGCATTTGACGAGTGGCAGGAGAGCAACGACCTCCGCTTGGGGGTTGCCGTGCCAACACACAACACGCGGAAGGATGAGAGTCCAGGGAAAGGCTCGGTGAGGACTAGGTCTGTGATCGATCGTAACAGCAGCTTTGGCAGTGTTGAATTCCATGCCAGTGATTTTCCTTTCGCAGGATTGCGACAAGAGCCGGGTGCGGCGGTTTCAGAAAACCAGCAGCAAAATTCACAACGACAGCAATCGCAAGAGGAGGAAGTAAGGGAGGAGAGAAGACGTAGGTCGAACAGTGTTCTCTCCGCCAATTCACTGCCTCTGAACTCAGAACCACTGGGCCGGGAGAATGAGGGATGCAGGAAGCGTCTTCGTAGCACACCGTAAATAACCGGGGAGTGGCAAGGGGTGGTATTGCTGTTTTGAGGCTTTCTCTCTATTTACCCATGCCCCCGCATGACCCTTGCCTGGCTTTCACACTCAATCTTGCTCGCCCAACCTCGTTCTACATCTCAAGCCCGTCCCTCTATTTGTTTTCATGTCACTGATCTTACTGAGACACTGCTGCTTCTATATAGATAATATTGTATGTCTCTATATAATGTCTGTCCATCCTCTTTTGTGTGTGTGTGTGTGTGTGTGTGCATGTATAGGGGTGGTGGGTGGAGGTTGTGCCACGCATGTCTTTGGATGGCAACTCCTTTCGTGTGATATACGAGAATGAGGAGCTTGTTGTTGTCAGCAAGCCGCACGACGTGCCGATGGACGGGGCGGACTTTCCCGTGACAGTAGAAGAATGGGCGATGGCACACCGCGCAAAGGCCGGAAGCGGTGACGATATGTCGTCAGTGGGCGCCGCTGGTAAACGCATAGGGAAGAAGGTGGTGAAGTTTGTGCATCAGTTGGACTACGCCACGAGCGGTGTGTTGTGCGTCGCCTTTTCAAAGGAGATGGCCGCGCGACTTGCGCATTGCTTTGAAATGCGCACAACGCACAAGGCATATCTTGCGATTCTGCGTGGAATATTGCCGCCGCTGAACAGAAACAGCACTGAGGGGTTTCTTGTTGACTCGCGCTGCGCCAGTCACGTTTACACGGTGTCACTCGACGAGCCGCCCAACGCACGCTTTATCTGCCGGTGTGTGGACGATGCCGGTGGAAAGAGCGGTGTTTCGCGTGATGCCGCACTTCTTGCGGTGGACCTCCCGGTGGGGTATGACGAGACGGATGCGGAGGGGTTCCGTATGGCGGTGAATGGGCGAGATGCACGGGAGAGCCTGACGTACGTGTATGTGCTGCAGCGCGGATACATGACACCGCCTGCATCAAGCGGGCGTTCGGTGCCTGTGTCGAAAGTTCTTCTTATCCCGCGAACAGGACGGCGGCATCAACTCCGCGTTCACTGTCATGCCATCGGCTTTCCTATCCTTGGTGATGTTACCTACGAGAGGCTATCGACGCCGTGTGGTATTAGTACTACTACTACTACTACCTCCCTGGACACGGCAGGTGAGGCGCAAGGAACCGATGCGGAGGCATGGGCACGGATGATGCTGCACGCGTGGCGCCTCTCGTTCCCCGTGAGCGTGGAGCCGGTAGGGTGCGGAAAGGAGCGCTATTTGCAGAAGAAAAGGCGACGTCGGGAGACGCTGGGTTTGGTGGACGCCGCCACCGCTGCTGGCGAAGAGGATGCTGTGTGGACGCACTTTGAAACAGAAGACCCGTTCCAGTCGCTTCTCTGCGATGGGACTCCATCGACTACGTGCGGCGGTGGCTGATGTTAATGGTCGTGTAACGGTGTCTTTCTTTTCTCTTAAAAATTCTCCTTTGTGTGTATCTGAGAGGAAGTAAGGAGGGAGGGAGTGACGAGGGTTCTTGGAAATAGACTCATACAAACGTATACTCACATGCCTCCACACTTTTAGATGCTCGTTTTCGCACTTTGTTTGTTGGTTTCGTTGGTTTTCTCGTGCGTTGCGCAGGAATGTTGCACGAAATGTACGCTCCCGCGGACTCAGCGTCCGTGGTGTGGAGCCGTCAGAAGAAGAGTGGGTTTCTGCGCCTTCTTTCTGACATGTACGATGGGGCGCAGCAGCCCAGCGTTCTCCTCCTCTACGGCCCCACTGGGAGTGGGAAGCTTTCTTCAGCGCAGGCAATGCTGCGTGAGCAGCGCGATGCATATGGTCGCCCGACGCTGGTAGAAGTGATGCACACCTGCGAGGCTGCGCCGCAGGAGTACTACCAGTTCCTCATGGACACATTCACCGAGCACGAGACGGTGGNCAGCAACGCATGCGTGTCGACCACACGCACCGCAGCCACCATTGGTGGTGACAGCACCAGCGCTGTCGGTGATGGCTTGCCGACAGGTGCGGCTGAATCGAGTGCAGTGGAGATCGGGGCGTCGCAGCAGCAACACCACCACCATCTCCAGTGTAAAACGCGCAGAGTGGCACGTGTTGTGAAGTTCTACGGTGAACCGCTCATGTCACATCTTCACACACTCACACGCCGCTTTCTCGACCACTATAGCGCGTGGAGGTGTGCCTCACCCCCAGTAATGTACGGTGGTGGTGGTGGTGGTGGCGGCGGTACGGATGTGGGAAATGTGTCCCTGCTTCAGCGCCACCTGGTGCTGTTCATCGCCACCACACACGACACTCACAGCGACAAGGTGGCGTTGGGGATGTCATTTCCCCCAAGTGTCCTCACGCACCCGTCGATTCAGACATTTCACTGCACTCCCCTCACAACGCGCAATATGGCGGTGCGCATTAAGGACATCATGCAGATTGAGCGGCGACGGAAGAACCGTGGCGTGGGGGGCTCTCTCTCTGATGAGGATATCGAGTTCTTGTGCGAACACAGTCACGGTGACATACGCCACGCACTCCTTCAGCTTCAATGGTACCTCTTAGGTGAAAGGGTCATACCGAGATGCTTACAAGACACGGGTAGTGCGCAACACGACAAGAAGCGACCGCGGTTCAAGTCGAAGGTGACGAACATGATGGATCTTCTGGATGATGGTGAAGGTGTGAGTGACACGCAGAAGTTGCTGCCACCCCTCGAGAAAACATCACTGGGGACTGCACGTGACACAAGAAGGGGAGGAACAAAAGGAGGAGGAGGCGCGGCCATGATCTTCCGGGACGAGTACCTTGACGTCGCACACGCAACCGCACGCATCCTTACACAAAAGTACACCATGGCGTCGGTGTTGGAGGAACTCAACGTGGAGCCCAGCAAGCTCCTTGGGTACCTTACAAACAATATGTCTGCTTACTTTCGCCCGGAACAGATGGAGGCGTACGCTCCGTGCGCTGCTGCAGCAAGTTTTGCAGACGCCCTGCGCGCTGCGGGGTCGTTCAGCGGCAGGTGGCGGCGGGCCGGCACGGGGCTTCACACCGCACGGCTCACATCGGACGATGACAACGACGGTGCGGGGGCCATTGGACTCGACCTCGTGTCCCTCGTGCTCTTCGGTAAAACCTATGTGGCGTGTCACAAGGATGTCCACATTCCTCGGGCTTTTGTGGCGCAGCGCCCACCGCCGTATCAGCCGTCAGTTTACCCGCGTCTGCGAGAAGTACGCGTTACGCGAAAACGCGCGCGGGTCAACAACAACGGATACGACGGCGGGAATGAATTTGGTCGCGATACTGAACACACGTATTCAATGTTCTCGAGCGAGTCGGAGTGGCGTCAGGACTTCCTGCGAAGGCTACAGCTGCGCTCATTGAGCGGTGGCCCACCGAGTGGCCAGGAATTTGATATTGTGCGGGAGAGTCTTCCAGCCCTTGTTAACAGATGTGCCTCATTGGACACGGTGCTTCTGGAGTACCTTCCGTACGCGAGGTTCATCGTGCTCGACTATGCCCCACCCTCCGTCAATTCCTGCGTCTCTGGGCGAAACAAGGTAGCGCTGGCCAACGCCGGGGCTTCTCCCAGCAAGCGGCTTGCCAAGACCGTTGCTACACACGCTGGACCGAAGAAGACAATGTTTTCTCTCATCCCAGTATCATCATCTCCGTTGTCACATCGGCTGCCGAAGCGGACATGCTCGCTACTTCGCTATAATATTCTCTGCCTCGGTCTGCCGGGGAAGTCACCTGTTCGTGTCGAGTATTTCACCTTGGTCACCCATAACGCCACCGATGATTGCGACGAGGGCGAGACGGTGGATGACGCCACAGACCCCAACGCCCCGCGGCCGCTTCTACCTGATGGAGAAGACATTGAAGAGTACAGCGACTGAATAGCGGAGTGTGGGAGTTGTCTTACATATTCCCTGGGTCATTTTCTCTCTCTGTCTCCAGTTATCTCTTGGACGAAAAAAAGATGGTACTTATATCTTTTTTTTTTTCGGCGTTGCTTCTTTCTTCTCGCGAAATGAACACGCAGCGAGACAAAGAAGAGAAAAGGCCCTTAATCAAGGAAGAAACCCACGGAAGAGGGGCAAAGCAAAGACCAAGCCCAAAAAAAGAAAATAACGAAATATTGGAAGGGTGGTGTGGAACCGCAGTGTGGTACTGAGAGGCAAAAAAGAATGGACGCCTACACGTCGCTTCTGAACCTCAACTTCATGTCCGCATGGCGGACAGGAAACAGTCTGGTCGACATGATCATCGCCATCATTATTCCCCTCTTCTCAAATGCTGTGGCTCGCTTCTTCTCCGTCACGTGGCCGAGCTTCGTGCAACGAGTGTTAGAGCTTGCTATCCCGAAGGCGGCGGAGGTGAAGATTCAGAGTGGCCTTTCAGACCGTTATCATCGCGCGGTGGATTTGACGGAAGGCTCTGTCCTTCAGGAAGCTGTGGAGCATTACATCAACGTGCATGTGCGCCCCTTTTACTCTAACGGGGAGTTCGTGTTCAGCAACATGGTCTCACAGGGTGATGTGGTGGGGTCGAAGAGTCTCGCCCAGATCCTACAACAGGAGTTCAAGCTTATTAGCCGTCCGTCAAAGGAGAAGGTGGAGCTCCGCAATGGTATCGCCCTCGAGACGCGAGAAGATGTTGACGGGGATAAGGGCGACTCGGACGATGCGAACAACAACAACAACAAGCACAGTTCCACGAAGGCTCATGCAAATAAGGAGAAGGGTGGGAGAGCAATGTGTGTCATGCGGGAGATTGTCATGACCGAGAAGGCTGGGGTCCTCAATGAGTCCGACCAGACGCTTGACTTTGTGCGAACCGCATTTGATTGGTATGTAAAGGACTTGGACCGCTTTGCGAGCACACAACGCTACCTGTACCAACCAATCCATACCGCTAATACCGACGAGAAGGGGGGAACGGGCGAAGATGCTGTGATGAGGGTCTCACGATACGCGCTGTGCGACGCGAAGACCTTTAAATCTCTTTTTTTCCCAGAGAAGGAAAAACTCATGGCGTTGATTGATCAGTTCGAGTCCAAGACAGGCAAGTTCATGGTGCCGGGTTTTCCTCACAAGCTCACACTACTGCTCCACGGGCCGCCGGGAACGGGGAAGACAAGTCTTGTCAAGGCCATTGCACAGTACACGGGGCGCCATATTATCTCCATTCCCCTCAGCCAGGTGCAAACCAACCGCGAGTTAATTGCCTGCATGCATGATCATCTCTTCGAATTGGAAAGTAACGGTCGCTACTGCAAGGTGTCGCTTGGTCCCGACAAGGTGATCTATCTTCTGGAGGACGCAGACGCCACCGCAGATGTCATGCTGGCGACGAAAGAGAAGGGCACTGTGTCAAAGAGGCGNACAATAAAGGCCGGAACTGCGCAGCCACTCGACGCACTCAGCACAAAGGGACTACTGGAGGCCTTTGGGGGTATATTAGACGCCCCCAGGCGTATAATAGTGATGACAACAAATCACATTGAACGCCTGGACAGCGCTCTCATTCGCCCAGGATTCATCACTATGCGGCTGCACATGGGGAACTTCACAGAGGAGTACGCGTCGCAGATGGTGACGCACTACTACGGTGCCGAGGCCGCCACACCGACGCGGATGGGCCACCTGAAGCAGGTGTTGGAGCGGCTTGGTGCGAAGGGAATTCACTTCAGCCCCTCCGAGATGGAGCAGATGTGCGCAGAGTACGACAGCATCGAGGAGTTCATCGGGGTGTTGAAGAGAGGGAGCAGGATGGATACGTACTGAGCGCGACAATGTGTGTGTGTGTGTGTGTGGCGGTGGGGGCTGTGCATGTGCGGGCGAAGAGCAATTGCTTTGAGTTGCGCGGTGATTCCTTCAGGGTGAAAAATAAAAAGGCCGAGAAGAGTGTAGTTCGGCTCTTTGCGAATATGATCAAACTTTTTGTTTTTGTTTCGTTTCATTTTGTCACTCTTTTGATTATTTCTTGCGTATTTTCGGGGGCACTCATTCAAGCTGCAGGAGTGGATTGCGGTGCGAAGGCAATTTTTTTTTTTTTTTTAGAGGGGGTTGGTGCACAGACACACACATACATACACGCGGGGGAGAAGGAGGGAGAAGACGGAAAATGATGGCAGCGAAGGCGCCTGTGAAGATTCTGCTGCTGGTGACCGGTAGCATCGCAGCTGTAAAGGTGGGTCTGCTGGTGGATCAGCTCTTTGAAGATCCATGCCAGATTCGTATTGCCTCTACCAGATCCGCGTTCCACTTCCTGACACGTGCGCAGCAGTCCGTCCGGGACTTCCCCCTGCACCGCGTTCTCACCGATGACGATGAGTGGAAAGAGTGGCAGGGGATGAATGATGCTGTGATGCACATTGAGCTTCGGCGATGGGCGGACCTCGTGGTGATTGCCCCCCTCGACGCCAACACTCTCGCAAAGTTGTCGAATGGGTTGTGCGACAACCTCGTCACATGCGTGATGCGGGCGTGGGAAGTGAAGCAGAAGCCTGTGATAGTGTGCCCGGCGATGAACACCGCCATGTGGACGCACCCGGTGACGGCGAAGCAGCTCTCCACATTGCGTGACTGGTACGCCCACACATCTCCCGACTCGCCTCTGTCGGACGCCGCCGACGACGACGTCTCCGCCACCGGACAGTTGCCGGACACCTTCGAGAAGGCGTTGTTTCAGATTGTAGGGCCCGTGAGGAAGCGGCTCGCGTGTGGCGATATTGGGATCGGCGGCATGGCGCCGGTGGAGGATATTGCAAAAGTAATACGGCACACAATGGGCATTATTCGCTCCAGGCGTCCCAACGGCACCAGCCTGGAAACGGATGCTGTGGAACAGCAAGAACAGCAGCAGCTAAAGGAGCCCCATGGAGCCTCAAGTGTTAAGAATTCACAGAATGAGTAATTATGTTGCCCACTCCGTCGGTTTCGTGTGAACATAAAATATGAGGCGTGTCCTACGCTGTCTCGAACATGTTTCACCAGCTCGGTCTGCGATTGGACACTACCAGCCTACAAAAATATTGCTGCAGCGTTGTTACTATCAATGAATCCCGTGAGGATGGAAGGTGTAGACATTTTGGCAGCCTGGTGCCTGGATGCGTGCCTCACCTTTCGCCCTTTACATAACTATGGCTTCTCTATGTCTCTCTGTTGTTGTTGCCTTTGTTTTAATGTGTGCTTGTTTAGTGGCGGCACACTCAAGCGGCGTGGATTGGTGATACGGTGCGATGCGCCGCACATTGGACGATGGGGTCTGCACTGAGTGCAGTGGAAGAGAGTGCCCTGGCGTCACTGACTTGGTGTTTCTCAACGGCAACTCGTGCAGGACTGGCGAGGACGACCACGCAGTGGCGCTTCAGCAGCTGCGCGAGAGGGCGTGGGAGGAGACAGTGGGTGAAGTGCTGCAGTGGGTCGCGGGGGCGCTGCACGGTGACGAGCAGTCGCTGTTGCATCTTGATATTCTCCTGGAGGAGTTGGGCGACGCGGCGCCACCGCGTGCTGGCGGTGGACAGCCGCAGTCCTGTAGCTACTGTGCAGCATACGATGATAGCTCCAGCGAGTCGGCATACCCTTCCAAGGGAGTGAAAGAGTCATCGCAGACGTCTCGATCGTCGTCGATCACCACCACTGCCACAGAGGGCACGTGTTGGAGCACGGCCACTGCACAGGCGAGCATGACAGAAGAGGAGAGTGTGGAATCGCCGTTTGCTGGAAGGGCGTGGCAATATGGCGTCTCCACTGGGTTTCTACCCGAACGATTTCAAAGAGTCGCTGCGGATTCTTCTAGCGGCTGCTGTGGCAGCAGCAGAAGCAGCAGCGGCGAAGGCACTACCAGTGTGGAAGAGCGGAAGGAACACCGCAACTCATTCTTTGGGGAGAGGGCGATATTTGGACACGCTACAGAGAAGGCCGCACGGGAGGAGAATCAACCGACGGAGCCCCGCTTCAAAGTTCTTGACGAGAGCGAGGCGGAAGAACGCCAACAGCCATGGTGGACCGACGTGCGCGCGTCTAGTCGCCTTCCTCCTATGCGCCCCGACGATCGTTGGCCTTTTTGAATGGGGAAGAAGGGGGTCTTTGTTTTTGTTTGTTTTACCATCAAACCAACCACCATAGATGAATGATGCGGCCTCACGGTCTGTCACGAGACGTCCGCGAGTGGCCTTTTTTTTTATTGATGTTTTCCTTTTCTTGTTTTCCCGTTGTGTTTGCCATCCGGCTATCGTGGCGTGGTCTGTGGATGGTGCTCCTGCGCGTTCTCCGCGGCGTCTCCTCCACACATGCATATCACACCTTTGCTTTCCATTCTCTCTCCCTCTCTCTCTCCATTTCTATTTACCCTACAGTTGCTGCTGGGGCAAGGGGAACCGTTTGGCAACCTGCACCCAAGAAAGGGAAGGCTACACACACACACACACACACTCACACAGGGAGGCATACACCGATATGTCAAAGCTGTACAAGGCCCAGACGCAGCAGGGCCACTCGCGTGGCTTCTACGAGTACATCCGCAGCGTGGGCGAGTCCAAGTCGAAGCAGGAGGAGGATGAGATCGTCTTGCGCGACCTCGTTGACCTCAAGAAGGCCCTCACGGCAAAGATCATCGACAAGCGGTTGTTAAAGGAATATGTCGTGCGCATCTTCTACGCGGAGATGCTGGGCCTCTCCGCGGAGTTCGCCCACATTCATTGCGTGAATCTCTCTTCGAGCACGGACCTTCTCTTCAAGCGTACTGGCTACCTCGGCACGTGGCTCACTGTCAACCCCGAGCACGACCTCATGTACCTCATCGTGTCGAACCTGCAGCGCGACATGAAGTCGAGCAGCTTCCTCGATGTCGCCGCGGCGCTTACAGCAGCGGCGAAGATGGTGCGGCACGAGCTGATGAGCGCCATCAATGCGGAGGTGGTGGGCCTACTGGGCCATGCCAACGCACTGGTGCGCAAGAAGGTGGTGCAGGCGATGCACGCCTTCTACCGCAAATCGGACGGCGTCATTGGCGACCAGAAACTCTTCCGCCAGGCGCTGTGCGACCGCGACCCCGCCGTGATGGGGGCGGCGCTGCGGCTCTTCGCCGATGTCGTCCGCGCCGACGCGGCANCGCAGCGCGACCTCATCCCGACATTCACGTCGATTCTCAAGCAGATCACGGAGCACCGCCTGCCGCGCGACTACGACTACCACCGCATCCCCGCCCCCTGGTTCCAAATGAAGATACTGCAGATTCTCGCCATGCTCGTCGGTGACGACCCGTTACTCGCGCAGAAGTGCGAGGAGGCATTGACGGAGGTCATCAAGCGGGCCGAAAACGGTCTCAACATTGGGTACGCCGTGACGTGCGAGGCCATCAGCGTCATCACGCGCATTCCAACCATTCCGTCCCTGGTGGAACTGGCCGCGGAGGCCATCGCAAATTTTCTTTCAGGAAAGAACGCAAACCTGCGTTATGCTGGGATCGAGGCCCTGGCACAGATTGTGCGTGTTGACCCCAAATACGCCCGGGAACACCAGCAGGTTGTGATGACTTGCCTAGAGGATGCCGACGACACAATACGGCGTAAAACAATGATGCTCCTCCTCGCCATGTGCAATGAGGACAACGTTGACGCGATTGTGACGCGACTGATTAAATCTCTTTCTCATTCAACAGACCGCTATATGCGGCAAGATCTCACACGGCGCATTTGCGATGCGGCAGAGCGGTTCAGCCCTGGGGCGGTGTGGTACATTGAATCCATGAACAAAGTTCTACTCTGCGCCGCGGAACACGTTCCGCAGCCCACTATTCAAGGAATGCTGAAGCTCATCGCAGAGGGAGAGGGTGTAGACGAGGCGGGAGACGCGGCCTTTCGTACGTACTGCGTGGAGACATACTTTGACCTCGTTGAGAGCACACGTAAAAATCTACCCGAAGCATTTTCTCGCGTTGCGGCTTGGGTAATGGGCGAGTACGGTTTTCTGACAAAGCGGATTAGCCGCACAATGCTGCTGGACCGTCTGTGCGACATGCTGGAGCGGGCGGAGAACGTTTCAACGCGGGGGTGTATTATCATGGCCATGATGAAGATTGTTGCCCACGCCGGTTCGATGCCAGACAACGTTGAAGAGCTCATTGAACGCTTCAAGGACAGCCGCAGCGTCGGCTTGCAGCAGCGCTGCTACGAGTTCATGGAGCTGGTGAAGATGCCTGTGTTAATGAAAAAAGTGCTTCCGCTGGACGGCTGCTGTGAGCAGGTGGAGGTAGACGAGGGGATGGAATTCCTGAACGAAACTGTGCAGGAAGCGCTTCTGGTGGGAGCCAAGCCGTACGAGAAGCGAACAGTACGCCTCGGCATGAAGGAGGAGGAGGAGACGCTACGTACCGATGCGTACAAGGTGCAGCGTGCAGATATTGTCGATGAGAGTGAGCTCGACCCCGAGAGGTTCAAGACGGATGAACCGCATCAACTCTTCATCCGCCCCAGTGCCAGACGGTGGGGTGTGAAGAACCTCGAGGAGGAAGCAGCAGCGGCAACAACAACAACAACAACAACAACAACAGAAGCAGGAATGAAGGAGCTCACCATCTCACCGGACTCCGGACCGGCTCCGACAGGTGGGGTGGAGTACTTTCCCGACGGCACAGTGCTGCATCACGTGGACCCGTCGTCGCCAATGCCGCGGGAGAACGTGAAGCCCAGCAAGAACGAGAGGTTTCTCAACGATATTTTTGGCGGGACAACAAAGAAGAAGGCCACCACGCGCTCTCGCGGCGAGGCAGCCGAAATATTCCCGAACGGCGGCAAGACACCTGAAGTGAGTGGTGGTCCTTCCCTCAGCATCCACATAGCGCACGTGATGGAGGAGGCGGCGATGGGTATCACAGTGCAGGTTGTGGCAAAAACGGCGGTGGGAAGTGTCGTTATCGACACTAAAGCCCCTGCAAACTGCACACTTCGCACTGTCTCATGCTCCGCGCCAGTGGCCAGCGTGAACGGCAGCACAACAACGCTGGCGACGCTACATGCCAACCAGTCGATCACGATAAATATGCAACTCCTTCCAGTTGCATTCCCCGGTGAGGGCAGTGTGCAGGTGGATGTGGCGTATCGTAGCGCTTTACCTGGTGACCCGCAGCACGTTGTTTCGACCATGGCACTGCGACCGAGTTTCATTCTACGACCGGCCACACAGATGACGACGCAGCAGTTCGGGCAGGCCTGGGTGAACCTGAGCGGCGAGTGCAAAGTGCAGCTGACGTCCGCCACAGCGTTGACGCCAGACTCGCTTCAACGGCTGCTGATGGATCGAGCTTCGCTCTGTGTGGTGGAAGTGATTCGCAGCGAAGTTATCGCGGCGGCCGTGCTACTGGGCACTGGGCAGCTGTTGTTATGTCACGTTGCTGTTGTCAGCGCCAGCACAGCCAACGTGACGGTGCGGGCGCAAGACTATTCTTTCGCTGCGCACGTGGCGCGTATCATGGCCGCTCAGTGACTCTGCCACACGCGCTGATCTATCTATCTATCTGTCTTGATGCACCTCCCCGTGGTAGTGCAAGAGGGGGTGGGAAGCACATCGGCCATTCCCATACACACAGGGTGAATGAGTGAGTGAGTGAGTGAGTGAGAGGTGCATCTTTGTGTGGCATGCAGGGACGACTGCGTCATTGCCGCGTAGTGTGTTTTGTCTCACCGCTATGGTTGTGTGATTGGCGGAGTGCCTCACTGCGGGGGGGAGGGGGAAAACCGTGGATGGGAATGCGAAGTGAAGGAAAAGGGGGTCGGCGAGAGCAGTTGGTGTTCTTTCTGTTTATCCTTCCCCAGTATCGTCTCGATGCCTGTAGCACTTACGCGTGTAGTTTGTTTTGGAGACACCGAAGAAAGGAAGGGAAGTGAATTGCGAAAACAAGCAGTCTGCGTGCGCGGAGGCAACACTCAAGAAGGACTTGGTGCTAAGCGCAGCGGCGCTGTGCTGCTGAGAGGTTCTCTTCGTTCGTGGCCGTACTTCTTTTTTTGTGTTACTTGTGGTTTTTTTTTCTTTTTGTTTGATTTCTTTCTCTCGTTGGGGCTCAGGCGGGCTCGACGTGGACAATGGCGGCGTCTTCTACTACCAATGCTGCTGCTGCTGGCACGGATGGAGGGCTGCAGGTCCTCGATGCCTACACGGCGGTGTACAGCGCCACACGCGAACCGCAGCGGTTGAGTCTACTCCACACGCTGCTGGCGGCACTGCAGTGGCGTAGTGGTGGGGAGGAGGAGCAGCAGCAGCAGCAGCGGCGGCGATGTGGCGGCGGCACGGGCCCGTACACGTCGCGCTGTTCCGTTCTTGACGCGCTGCAGAACTGCTGCCAGAGTGCGGACGGGTGCCGAGAGGTGGCGAAGGGTAACTTCATCACTGTGTGGTATGCGCTCCACTCAGTTGCCGCGGCGCGTGAGACATCGCGTGGTGCACTGGCGCACCTGCTCGCTGGCGTGCCCGACACGGTGTGCGCTGCGTGCTTGGCCGCGACGCTTGGTGTGGAGACAGCGCAGTTGCAGATGATGGATGCGTTGGGGCAGCAGCGGCTCCAGCAGCAGCAAGAAAGAGCCAAACAACAACAACACTGTGGGATTGTGCCCTTCCTACAGATAGCCATTGAGTCATTCCGCGTCGTGACGCGCGACACACTGCCTAAGTGTCTCTACTCTGCGTTCGAGCCGCTGTTGTGCGAGCTGCCGTACAGCTGGCTGCTTAACTGCGTCTTCGCCAATACACCGATGCGTCTCATTGGTACCGCAGAGGGATTTAGAACAGCGAAAGAGCAACTCGAGTTGCGGGAATCATCGCTGCGGTTCCTCCTCTCGGCCGAAAGCACCACGGGTGATGGCGACGCCACAGCAGTGACTGGGCATAGGAAGCAGTTACAGGAACTGTTGAGCGCAGTCACTGCCATGCAGTCTGCACTTTCCACCGACGCCTTCGTTGTGCAACTTGCGGATGAGTGGCGTGCGGGTGTGGAGGCAATACGATACTCTTTCGCCGCAGCAACAACACCAGCAGCAGCAGAAGCAGCAATCACAACGCCGGGTGCGCATTCCCCCGTGAGGCTCGTGGATGCCCTTGACACACTGCTGCAGCTCACGCCCCATAGCGTGGCATACGGCGTTGCACACTGCTTCCGCCTGCCGTTGCCACCTGTTGTTGACATGGA